CAAAGGCTGAAGGTTCCAGTGGTGAGTGCTCCCCCAGTTAGGGGAATGACTTCTTCATAGTCGGGGTCCTGAGTCCGGTCCTGGGAGGGGTGCCCATTGGCTGGCTGAGCCCTCACCCTCCTCAGGCTGTCACAGGACGGGAAGCACTGGGTGGGGGCCGACCTGGTCGGCCCTGAGGCTCTGGACATGCCTCCCCAGATCGGAGATGTGAGCAGCCATGTGTGGGTTTCTCAGGCCTGGGGCCCAGGCAGAGCCCTGCTGATCATTTGACCAGGCCTTCCCCAGTGCACAGAGGCCAGGGGAGGCCTCAGGGATGCAGGGACTGTAGGCAGCTGTTTGTCCTCTGCTTCGGGAACTGGGTAGTGGAGGAAGGACGGATCCTGGTCCTGTCCCTACGTGCACATGACGATGGGTGCCCTCCCAGGCTTCTTCTATTGTGGAAGCTTCTCTGAGCGTGGGAGATTTCCTCCCCATTCCTGGGTCAATGGTGGTTCCCATGTCTGCGTGACAGTAATTTGGGCTGGTTTTCTCTAAAATCAGTTCCCCAGGGCCTTTTGAAAGCTCCCATCCCTATTACTCTGGTTCCCAGCACAGTCTGTGACATTGAGGGCCCTGTATCTGGCTGTTAGTTTTCTCATTCCTGGTGGCCCTCCCAGGAGATGCTGTTAATGGCTGCATTTTAGGATGAGGAAGGCAGACTGAGGTGCAAGGGCCTCCAGGGTGGGGAATGCAAGTTAGAGGTGACTTTGAGGTTGCAGAAGAGCCCCCAGAAAAGAGGTGGTGGCACAGGGCACTCTGTAGTGTGACAGGAGCCATCAGCATCATACTGTGGGGTCCTGGGGTTCCCATACCCCTATGCCCCTGGTCCCTGCGGGAGGTCCTGAACTGCTCCTGTCCTGCCTTCCCAGTCAACGGCAGGAGGGGGGCCGTGAGGGTAGAGCTCAAGTTGGGGGACTGAGTCATTCATCTGTGTCTGCCTGTGCCTGGAGCTCTGTGTTGAAACAAAGATTGGGCCCCAGTTTGGGGTCCATGAGAAAGATGACTGGGAACAGTTAGTGGATCTGCTCTGGCTTGGGGAGTGGTGGCACATGGGCCCAGCATCATCTAGAGTGGGGTCTCGGCATGACAGTGCCTAATGTCTCCACACGTCACGGCATGTGCCCTGGTTGCTGGTGTGGGTGGGCAGTTGAAAACCGCTGTATAGAGTCCGGAGTCTGCCCTCCCCCTGAGAAGGTGCCATCTCTGGTCTCTCCTGTGGGGGCCACTGGACATGGAGCAGCTGCTAATGCACATCATTAAATGGAGGTTTGATTGCCTCACTTGCTTCTTGCTCCCCTGGAAACAGGCAGGCAGTCCTCAGGCCCGAAGGCGAGAGCAGGCAGAGCCGCTACTCCTGAGCCATCATCCCTGAGCTCCTGGCTGTGCCAGCCCCGTGGGGGCCGGGCCCAGTGCCCAGTGGAGCCAGCAGACCTGGCGCCCTCTCCGTGGCGCCCAGTGAGAGGGGCAGCATGCTCAGCCAGCAATTGGTCAGGTGCCTGGTAGAGCTGTGGGTCTCTGGTTTGGGCCAGATCCAGCAGAGACAGGCTGAGCAAACCCGGAGCTCTGCCTCGGGGCAGCAGCTCACTCTCAGATCATTCTCTCCGTCCCTGGTCCTCAGTGCGGTACACTGTGCCCGTGCGAGGTGGGAAACAGTGAGGTGACAGGGCAGAGGGCAGCTCGGGAACTTGTAGCAGGTTGATTGGGGTCCCAACTAGCTGAGTCCTTGACTGAGCTTTGCCAGTTCTACCCCCACCCACCCCACCCCACCCCATGCCAGGAGAGAAGTGGGAGGTCTGCTGGCCAAGCTCAAGTTGTAGGGACTGGAGGTGCTGGACGTGTGCTTTCCTCCAAGGGCTTTGGGAGTGAGGCCGTGGACAACTGAGGGAGGTCCCGGCAGGTTACCCCAGCCACACCTGTCCTAGGAATGGAAGCATCATGGGCTGGTTGGGAGAGACCTGGCTGAGCCCCCAGGTACAGCCCCGTGAGCTGCTTCCATCTGCATTGGTCAGAGCAGCTAGTAGTAGTATTTATTTACCTGGGGTTTCAGAGGCTGCAAAATCGAGCTGTAAGTCCTGGGAAATACCATCGCACAGCAGGAAGTTTAGTCCCCAGCATGACTGGCTCAGGGAGATGTCCACCTTTACCTGTCAGAACTGAGCTGATAATCCCTTGATGAAAACATTGAAGCCACCCAGGCCTCGGGGCTGAAAACATTCAGTCCATGCCTGAAAGCCCCAGGCTGTATTTCAAGCCTTGAATTTTATCCTTAGCAAGTGTGGCAGCCATGCCCGAGCAGCAGTGTCTCCAGCACACGCCTTCAGGATCGTCTTTGAAGTGGGAGCCACCTTTCACAATTGCACCAAAATCTGTATCCCAGAATATGGGAAAAGAAATACCTAATCTGATAATAAACAGGAGGTATAAAAGTATATCCTAATAGGAAAATGAGGCAGGTAACTGAGAAAATTTTAAACTCAAGGCAAGCTTGCATACTTGTAAGGAACCTTTATCATGAAAGACCTTTAGTGGTGCAGAAGTAGTTATAAGAGTCTGACACAGCAGCAACCTGTTGGGGAATTGGGGGTGGGATATGTAAACTATTGGAGATCTAGGCCAACAGGAGCAGCCCTGGGCAGCTCCTCCAGACTCTAGGGACACCTGTAGCATCCTGGGGAGGTGAGGCCCGTCACCTGGCTGGGCATTCACAGGGACTGTCCTCATGATCCCAGACCAACTGCATGCCAGCAGGTTCCCACACCCCTGGGCAGGAGGCCTGGCCCCCAGTTTCCCTGACTAGAGGACAGATGCTCATCCTCCCTCCCCACCGAAGTATGTGGGCAAGGCCCTGGGATAGGCAGGACTCTGCAGGCGCAAAGGAACGCACATTCCAGAGAGAGCACCGGAGGGAGCACAGGGGAGCTCTCCTGAGGTGCTCTTGAAGGGTGCCCTGTCCTGAGCTGGCTCCAAGCACTGCACCACACACCTGCTCTGCTGATCACCTGGGGCCAGGCAGTGCTGGGCCAGGCCTCTGACCACCCCGGGACCAGGCCTTCCTGGGGCCAGGCCTGCTGACCACCCTGTGACCAAACAGTCCTGGGACCAGGCCTCCAAGACAGATCATGTGCAGGCAGTTCAAGGGATGAGGTGCCAACTACCCTGGAGCCTGTTCTGGTCACAAGACCATGGCCTCGTGGGCAGGGTGAGGGGAGCTTGTGGATCCCAGGCCCATCCCCCACATCAGTGGGAGATTCAAGTCCTGAGTATACCTGCAGGGCTGGGACAGATAAGCTCCGGGACAGAATTCAGTGTCCAGGATAAGATGGGCCCTTAGATAACCGCCCCCCCCGCCCCCCGCAGTGTTTTCCACAGGAAATCGGTGCAGCTTTGAAGTGCAGGCTTCAATTAGATTAATGACAGGTGTTACGGAACCTCCCTTCCACAGTTCCCTTTGCAAACCTCACATGCTGTCACCCTGTCCTGTTTCAGGGTGACTGAGGCTGTCACCCTCATGGAAGGCATAGGCTCCCTTGGAGGCCTTGGGCCCCCATGAGCTCCCCTCACCCCTTTGCCCCACCAGGAACCTGCTGACCACTGGGCAGTGGTGACATTGAGTCACGTAGCACCCCTGGGGCCTTGGCCCAGTGGGACCTGGGCAGCGAGTGCTCAGCAGGATGGGGACACAGACACACAGACCCTCACAGGTAAAGCCACAGGACTGGGTTAGAAACAGTTCCCAAGCTAACATCTGCACCTGACCAAGAGTTCAGCTTGCTCCCTCAGCGTCAGTGGGCAGGAGGCAACCTGGTGCCTCCGATCCCATTGGCGCCTTTGCTGTTGTCTGAAGCCCTCCTAAGAGGTGCATGCCTGTGCCGCACCCACCCCCAGAGCCAGGGGAGTCGGGCACTAAAAACCCATGGGCCAGGTGACCCTCATCAGTGGAGAGTGGAGAGCCAGCCACCTGACTCCTGGCATTGCCTGTCGGCACCGGCTGGTGGGCTGGCCCCTCCTCACAGAGTGAGTCTTTCCAGGCCTAAGTGTTCCTGGACCATTTTACGATGATATAACTGAGACTCAGGGCCAGAAACTTTCCTAGGGACCTTTCTGAGGCACCCACATTTCACAGTGCCTACTGTACTGGGCTGAATGGTGACCCCCAAAACACATGTCCACTGGAACCTGCGAATGTGCCTTTATTTGGAAAATACTCAGATGTAATCAAAGTAGAGGTTAAGATGAAACCATCCTAGATTAGGGCGGGCTCTAAATCCAAAGAGTATCCTTATAGGAGATGGAAGAGGATGCACAAGAAGGCCGTGTGAGGAAAAAGGCAGAGGCTGGTGACGTAGCCACAAGCCAAGGATGCCTGGAGCCCCCGGAGCTGGCAGAGGCAGGGAGGGTCCACCCTGGCCTCTTGTTCAGCTCAGTCCCTGCCATGTTCCAGGGTCTAAGTCGTTTTCGGGTCTTTTTGTGCTGACAGCACCATGAGGAGGTGGCATTCAAGAGTTCCATCGCACACACGAGAAGCCTGGTTTGGGTTCAGCAGCTCTTGATTCTCTGGGCACTAAGGGCTAGAGTGAAGCTCAAACCCAAATCCCCTGACCTGCAGGGACCACACTCTGAGGTGACCAGGGCTCGTCAGCCCCTCCCTCCTGACATGTCCCTGCGTCTGCCTGGGCTGCCGTCCCTTTCGGGTGGACTAGGGGCCCCTTAAAGACGACATTCCTCCACGTCACAGCAAGATCATGCTCACCTTGCTGGGGCTCCTGGCCCAGGGCGAGTCAGGAATGTGTGCGTCAGCGGCTCAGCAAGTGCATTTAATTTGTAACAGTGGAAAGCTTTCACCCCAGTATTGTTGTTTGTTACTGTAATTTGCTCCAGGAACGTTCTGGAACTTGCGGCATGACCCCCTGTGCAGCCCTCTCTAACACAGCATACCTTTCTGTCTGTTTGGCCTTTGCCAGGTAATGTGTCCAATCTGGATCCCAAGTTCTCATTTGAAGGCACCAAACTGAACGTGGGGAACATCGTGTTGGCGTTGTACAGCGGCCTCTTTGCCTATGGGGGATGGTACGTTTCAGAATGTCTGGTTCCCTGGGCCTTGGGGCACACGGAGCAGGCCCTGAGGTGTCCAGAAATCTGAATCTCTCGGCCACCCCCTGGGCAGTTTTAGAGAGTCTCAGAGCTGCTCGAACCCGACGCATCCCGAGAAAGCACAGAGAGGACAGCGCAGCAGCCTGGCTTTTCTCCACTGTGTCTGGGCTCCTGGGAAGGCGGTCCTGTAGATAAGCCTTTGCTGAGGAGAGTGAAGCATTTGAGCTTAAAAGGCTGGGCCTGGTGGTTCTCAGCTTCCCCCTCGCCAGGAGCGGAGTGCCTGCCTACAACTTCGCGCCTCCCCGCTCCCCCCACCACCACCACCACACACACACACACACACTTTCCTTCCTGCTGGGTCCCCGCTGGGCCCCACTCTCCAGCCAGATTATACTGGGCCGCAAGAATGGCTGCCGTGTGGTGGGTGGGCAGGTGGTGAAGGTGCTGGCGGGCGGGTCAGAGAGAGGACAGGGCCAATTGAGAGGACAGGCCTGCAGGGGTTAGGATTTTCCCACGGGAGCAGGATTGGGCTCTTGCCCCCAGCTGCTCACTAGCGGGGCCCCAGGTGGTGGGTGAGGGGCCTCCTCCACTGGCCCAGAACAGCCAGCAGGGGCTCCCCCTGGAATCTGTGCTTTTCCCCCTAAGAACTGTGGGAGGGATGTATACTTAAACTCTGCCCTCTAACTTCTAGGAATTACTTGAATCTTGTCACAGAGGAGATGATCAACCCCTACAGGTATGTGTGTGAACAGAGACATTGTTGTTATTTTAATGTGAGAGAAGGAAGAAGTCAGTTCTGCCTAAGAATTCATCCATGGGGCCCAGCCCGATCTCAGATGAAAGCAGTGCAGGGCTTTTCGGGAGGGGCCCTGGGTTAGGATCAGGCTGGGGAGAGGGGGCACTGTGTGACCTTGAACAAGATTTCCCCTTAGAATAAGCAGGAGTGCCCATTTGACAGATGGGGAGCTGAACCAGGGTCGAGTCACTAACCCAGATTCACATAGCTGCCCAACCCCAGGCGCCAGCTTCCAGTGCCAGGGACCGGTGCTGGCAACAGCCTCTCTGTCACACCTCCCCCACGCAGTGAGGCCCAGGACCAGACCTGTGTATTAGAGAGCCATCGGGGCTGGTTCCGCCTGGAGCTGCACTTTGATGATGTGCCCTTTCGTTCCTTCCAGAAACCTGCCCCTGGCCATCATTATCTCCCTCCCCATCGTCACCCTGGTGTACGTGCTGACGAACCTGGCCTACTTCACCACGCTGTCCACTGAGCAGATGCTGTCGTCAGAGGCTGTGGCCGTGGTAAGACGCCACCTGCCAGTGTTTGCGCAGGTTGCCGAGAGACCAAGGCCCAGCCCTGCCGCCCTGAGCCTGTGATGTGGAGCAGACCAGGCCCCTGGGCTGCAAACCACTCTCCTGTGTGGAGGGGTTGAGCTGTGCTGCCAAGCCAGAGAGTGCAGGGTGCTGACTCACAACCCTGGCTGCCCGTGAGGATCACAGGGGCCTTTAAAAGTATTGATGCCCAGGCCACACTCTGGGCCAGTTTTAAAAATCAGCCTGTGGTCATCCGGGCCTCTGTCATTTT